CATCAAAAAAAAAAAAAAAAAAAAAAAAAAAAAAATTTTCCACGAGCTCGATCAATCTTGCAGACAAAAATCTGCCAATCTTACGAAATAGTAGTTGATACTCGATATGTGATCGTGATAAACGTCCAAACAGCCGGTCATCAACGCGTCGTTCAGCGAAACGATTAACCACGACACGTAACACGTGCCTTTCGAAGCAAACGAAAACCCGGCTCAGTTCCTCCATAACGATCATTCAAATTGATTTAAACAGTTTGAACAGACTGTGTCTCAACCACCTTCTCCAGACGTAGGACGTATCAGCTGAGTCGATCTGGTCGACAGACCCTGGATAACTTTCCGTCTGGTCGGTAATAATCGCCGGTAGCGTGAGTCTATTTCCATAGTAATTTCTCGTCAGCGAATAACCGTGTGCTGTGGCGTGTGTACGTGCAATGTGCACTTGCTCGGTGAATTTCGCGCACAAATTATATTTTACATGATTCCGGGCGAAGGGCAAAGAAACAAAGAAAATGCTTATATCGTGGAAATTGAACTCGATTTAATTGGTAATTCTTACTGGAAATAAATATTTGCAAGTTGCTCGATATTCATAGCGCGTCGCGTCGCAGAATATTTCTAGATTCCAGAGAGATTTAGAGAAAAAAGAATGGAAACAAAAATTCGTATTGTTAACTCGTATCTCTCTACAATTTCTATCTCGTGGATTTCGAATTTTATCGGGTCGTTTATCGGCCACGTATCCAGAAAAAGTACGATTTCAGAGAAAACGAGTCCGAACGTTTCGAACTCTCAGAGAGCTTCGACTCTCGTGACGCAACAGCGATGCGACTTAGGCGGTGAATTTTTCAAGCTCGTTCGTGCCACTGATAGCTGTAGAAAGTACGAGGAAACCACAGTGTTCCTTTCGTGCCGATAACTAACAAAGAGCTACAAATTTTCAATTAAGTATCAAACGTAAGAAATTCACTTTCTTAGATTCTATATCGCAGAAAAATACGGAAATATAATTTTTATCGTTAATTTCTATTTGCCTAATCTTCGCATCTTTTCGATCGACTTGCGATTTACGTAATATACGAGCAACAGATTCCGAATAAATTTGACCCGTTCAACGCGTAGCGTACGTACTCGCTTTTGACTTGTGCTGCATATCCTGCAAGTTTACACGCCAACCGTATGACAGAATCTGGTCTCTGTGTAAGCAGAAAACACGTATTTCCTTCGTTACAGTATACATACACACATATATCTTCCTCGCTCCATTACTTCGCGAGTCAGGTGAACGGGCTTGCAGCAGCCAGGCTCCTGTGGATTAATTGGTCCGTGAACGCTACCAAATGCAGTCGGTTCGCGAGAGCTGGCCGTTTTAGGACAGTCGTCTGAAACGAGGCGCCTCTACGATAGATATCTCGCGAGCTTTTCACCTGTGTAACATTATACATACGGGCGTACAACACGTGGGTCGTTGCGCTTGTTACGCCGCTCGGTGCATTTGTGGTCGTTTTGATGCCGGCCTCGGAGAAATCGGTTCTATTTGCGGTTTTCAGATAGAAACTGTACGCAATAACGGTGCGCGTGTGTTTCCTTGCAGTCACTTTAACCGCGCGGCTTGAATTTCATTTGTAGATTCTTCGAATTTTATCCCAAGATACTTGGAATTTCATTCGAAGATCCTGCAATTTCATTCGAAGCTCCTCCGAATCGGGTATTTTGCATTTTCACGTATATCATCGGTTTTATGTTATATTCTTTGATACATATTATAACATTCGTTTTATCGAACGATTGTTTTACGCTACAATAATGATCCTTTGCCTGTAGCGTTGCTCCTTTTCTATCTTTTCTTTACTTCTCAGCTTTCTAACGCTTTTTTCATATTTCCCATCATCGCTGACCTTTTCACACCTATCGTTTCGTCTTTATCCCTTCTTGAAGCTAAAATATCAATCGTTTCTTTTTATTCCGATGGTATTCCTTTCTTACTTTTCCACCTTCTAATTTCCCTCATTTTTTTACTAACACTTCTAGCGAAACTCTCGATACGATACGCGTATTCTTGAAACATATCTCACAACCGATGCTTCCTACATGGTATCTTCGCATAGCTTCTTCCTACCCGTATATTTAGGGTTTCAATATCGTTACCGCCATTTTTTTTACCACAAATTATCGTACACATCGATGCAAATGATACTGACAAATCTTTCGTATCTTACTTAGAAATTCTCCCATCTTTCTACCGAGAGATCATCCATCCCTTAGCTTCCCTTAGCTTCAAGAAACAAAAATACCAAAGTACAGAAGATTTGGTTGAAGGTTGGTTGGCTGGTTTAATGACGAGAGATCTTCATATAAAAAACCGTCAAATATATTTTAAAATAATAGATACAGAGAATGTTCGCTATCGACTCATTTGCATCATGACCCTGCTTAAGAAGACTGGCCCCTATTACCGCGTGCGTTCAATCGTAGGTGCAGTAAATGACATCCGAATTCTTCATGGAGTTTATCGAAAATTTACTGTTCGAAACGATTGGTAGACAGTGTTACTTCGCGAACATCGCATCTTATATTCTTTATAACAGAGGAAAAAAGAATTATTTATTTAAAAAAAATAAAAAATTAAATCATATTATTTCTCGTGGAATGCTCTAAAATGGTCAATACGATAAACTGATATAGGCCAGATACTGACAAACGGGTCAAACGTGATCTCTCGCATCCGAAGAATACTCAGCGATTGAAATAAAAAGCAGTCGCAGCGCGCGGGATTAAATTCGCGCTCGGATGCGAATCAGTTAAAATCGCATTGAGACTGAGACTGAAAAACTGATCGCGTTACGTTTATTTATACCGGTCGGGCGTATACAGGAAAATTTAAATTCGTCTTTGTTTGACGGCTGCTCGTAGCGGCGACGTTGTTTTTGTCCGGAGTTTATTTATTATTACATTACGTGTATCCCAACGATGTTGATACTCCGAGGCAAAACAACAACACGATTTGAATTGTCCTCAAGCTCATGCGCCGCTGCACACACACACACACTCCCACGCACGATCCAGCCCCCGATCTGTCATCCACACCACGAACCGCGCATCAATGCCTCCTCTTTGGTATTAAAATCTGCCGCACGAGGGGTTCACAAAAAAAAAACTCCTTTCACCCGCTGTTCTCAGCCCAGCAGCAACAAATTACCCGCCACCCCTCGAGAACGTTGAAAAACCATTTGAATGCTCTCGAAGCGGACCAACGCGAACAACCAATGGATCTCGTCCCTTTTTCTACCCCCTGCGACCGTGTGATTTCGCGAAAGTCGCGTCCGT